ACATGTTGCCGAAGGTGGCGCTGTGGTGTTTAAATTGGCAATACAAATTCTGGACTTATTGAATTGTTTAAGTTCTAAACTTATGGAAAAGTTTTAAATTGAGATAAATTGAATATGATAGTTCTCAACCTGTTGAACAGTTTGCATAAATTAAATATGATAACTCTGAACTTGTCAAACTTGTAAACAATTCTTAACTTGAATAAATTGGCTATTAAAAGTCAACCAATCAGATGACGAGGAGTTATTCAGGTGTTATATAAAACAAATAATGAATGTTTCACGTTCGTGCAAAAGAAAGAATAATTTCATGAGGTGACAGATGAAATGTTCCATTCCACTTGGCTTCGCCTCATGGAATGGAACATTTCATCTGTCACCTCATGAAATTATTCTTACCATTGCACTCACAAACATTCCTTATTTGTATACCGACATACATACTCATGTGATGATGCCTAAATAGTACAAAAAAATACTGTGTGGCACTAAAAACAAGAAGTTATATATTACTGAAAGACAATTCAACAGTATTAAGACTAATACATGTATGTAAATTTATCTTACAATTTGGAATATTCTACAGGCATGAGAATCTTCCTGTTTAAACAGGAATTCCTGGTTTTGGTTTTGTTTTTGGGGGCCCAATTTTCCGTGTTTTTATTTATGTTGAGACCGTTTTGGGGCTTTTTGCCTGATTTCACTTTTTGCCCCCCGTTTCTCCACATCTTTTTCCCCTGTTTTTCCACAAGTTTCCTGTTTTTTTTTCATTATATTCATTCTCATGCCTGTCATTAAAGTCTAAATCAGCTTACAGCAAGGAAAAACGGGGTGAGGATGTTAAGGGTTTTAATAATAAAGTGATTATTCTTACAATTTTATGCTTCCACATTCCAATTTCTCTCTTTTTAAAAAAGTATATACTGTATAAAATAGGACCAAAAAAAAGTGTTTGTAGGGTTTACGCTTTTTGACTGTTTCTCAACTTCTCAGTTGGTTTCATGCTAACCAAGATATTAAGCCTCTCTGTACTGATGACGTCACACTTTGTTTACATGTGTGCTTTCTTAAGGGAGCCTGGTGGGGACAATGGTTTTGTAGCCCCATAAAAAAAGTGCACAATAAACAAAGTGTGATGTCATCGGTACAGAGGCTTATTTGGTAAGCTTTTTTTTGTCTAAACAACTCCAAACCGACTCTGCAACAACCTTTGCCTGCAACATCATGTCCTGAACCAATAAAAAACCAACATCTGAAAATTGATTGCACACTAAATAATAGGCATTTTGAAGGTAACTCTTTGCAGTAAACATCTTAACAACTTTGAGAACTAAACCAAAACTTATGGTATATGACCTTTAATCAATCACGATTAGCAGTATTAAAGGGAATATACAACATTTGCAAACATCGAAAAATTTAATTACATGTACCAAGTTTTTATAAAATACCTTACTAGGATGCTGGGAAATGACAGTCTAAAGCATCCTGTAAAATTATGGCATCTGGTGTGTAGTCCTTTTCAAGAAAATGGTAATTTTGTGTACATTTCCAACGGTGGTCGGCTGACCACCGTTGGAAAAACCTCACTATTTTTCAACTACTGCTCCAAATTTACCATTTTTTTCCAGTCCAAATTTTGTTTGCTATTGGTAACATGTTCATGAAAGGGTGCAGGCCAGCTAGACTGGTTCCCTTACCTTACAATTTTCCAGCATCTATAAATTGATCCATTTCATCTTTAGTGGAGTCAGGGAACCAGACTACTTGAACATTTTGGTTTTCTTGGTTTTTCCAGCATTTTCGAACACAAAACTTCAAACAAAAGAGTGTTGCAATATTTGATTTATAATACTTACCCCTCAAATCGTTCATTTCTGAAAATTACAGCAAAAGCCAATGATGTACATTCCCTTTAAAGAGATTTCAATTTAACTTTATCTTCACACAGAACTGCCAATGCAAGGAGCCAGTGACGTTGTGCACATTACAGTATCTGAAAGTGATGGTAACCGACTGGCCATCTTGAAAACCATGTGATCTGCACCCCTCACCGGACAAAAGGTAAAGCTTGCATTTAACCTTTGACCCTAGTTGACCTTTGACCTCAGAGAGTTAAGACCGATCCAAAAAATCATGAGAACGAACACCACCTAGAGGAATTACTGTTAAAATAGCTCCGATTTCAACACAATGTGTAAACGCTTTCATTAAACAAATATCCCAATACAAGGGCCAACATAACACGCTATCAAGAAATAAATACTTTTGTTTATTCTACTGGCTTGACAATATTTGGTATTAAAAGTAACATTTCCCAGTCAACTTCATCGAGTAAAAGTTCCGACATGCTTTTTGTTTAGGCCACAAAAAAAGGCTCCGGTTTCTGGTCCGCGCACGCGTCGCCCTAGCCATGCGCGTCAAAATTTAAAAAAAACCTTTTCAATGTAAGATGATGTCTCGAAACCACCAAACTCACTGGTTTGACTGGAATCCTGCTGCTGCACAATTTTAACGTGTTTTTAGGTGGGGTTACGATCGAGTATAAGCTTTATGTGGCCTCTCTGGGCTCCCATACATTTTGCACTAAGTTTAGTCGGGCACCATTTGCAGTCATCAGCCGACATTTGAAGAAAAAAAAAGATAAAAAAAAGAGAAAAAGCCGCGTCGCAGCACCATTTTTGGGGCAAGCTCCATACCAGAAACTGAAGACTTTTTTTTGGGCCTTACTGTCAATGAGCATTACGTGCTATCAGAGAACCATACAAATGTTTCAAATAAATACCCAAAAAATTATGTTACAATTAAATACCCCAAATATTTTACAATGAATGTTCTAAAATACTGAACATTAAGCTTCCTACATCCATATAAAAACTGATAAAATAAGTTAAATACCGAATTAAAGGAACTAATAGTACAGATTTCCCGAATTTATCCCTGCAAAAATTAAGTAAACAGCTAAGAATGTGATACGGTAGTTACCAAATATGCATTGTTGAGGTGTATGTGGAATATAAACTGATATTTTTTTGTGGTACACTTCACATCAACAGCAGTCTAGTTAGCACACGGTCTCTATTTATAACACAAAAAGATTACTGTTCATTTCACTTAAAGGTAGAGTACATCATTTGTCATTTGTGCATATTTTTTTTTCATTTGAAGTAACAAAAGTGCTCAAAATCTAAAGAAGGGTGCTTAACAACTAACCTGATGCATTCTAGCTCAATGAATGCTGTATATTCTGAGAAAACAATATTCTAGGATCTCGATTTCAATTCAAAAGTTGTCGAGTCATGTTTTGAATTGCTTCCGAAATTGGCGTCTGGGACACGTTCTCATTCAGCCGATTGCAGCTACGCGATGTCACACACTGAACCGATGAATTGTGTGTCATGTTAACACTTAGGCACACCCATTCACGGCTTCGCCGAATTAAAAACAAACTACATGGACTAACGTAAATTTCCAAAAATGCGTCTTTAGACGCATCTTTGGAAATCATCTTCTTTTGTTGTTTTCTTCAAAATGACAGCATGCCACAAAGAATCATTTCACAGGGAGTTTAGTGCCATTACTATCTTTAAACCAAGTAAGCTTTTCAACAATAATTTGGTCAGTTACTTTTTGAATAGCTGCAAATGTATTTTCTACCTTTAAGGGTTTTTTAAAAACAACACATGAAATAAATTGCTCTTTACTGAACCATGATCATCATACTTAAAGACACAAATAAATGCTTCAGTCTACAAGGAGATAATAAAAACGTTTTCATAAAATAAATCGAGGAATAAAAACATGAAATCTGCTTGTGCATATTGTGCGTACTCACTCCAAGTGCAAAACAAGAAAAATGACGTGAAGTTACAATTGTGTTTACAGAAACGTATTTAGGGGGCAGATTTTTAACAACATTCATCTTTTGGCATTCTCGAGGTACAATTTTAGCACGCATGTAAGAAAAAAGGTTTGATGTTTTAAAATCAACATATGCATTGATAAAATGGATGTACTTCGTAAAAGGAATGATTTTAAGTACGCTTACACCAATCGTGCAATAATAAAAACAAAATCACTACAAACTTGATCAATACAGCACCTGAAAAAAACAACAAAAAACCAAAGCAACAATATGAGGTCGTATTAACTGTGCGAGTTACTTTTTTCACACTAAGCACACACATTTTGAGGGGAATTCACCAGAAGTCAATTGGGATATCAGAGCCAATAACTTTCCGTTACGATTCGAAAACATGAAAATAAACGGACGGAATAAAGTTTCTTTCTTGAGAGAGACCGGGACCTGGAAGCAACGAGCTCGGAATTTGTTCAAGTATGATGCTGAAATCACAGGGAAATTTTTCAACCAATTTTAGTTTATCTTAGTTCCTATTTTTTTTGGCTGAAACGAACCTTCCCCGGTTCACATTGGTTCCCAAATGTAAATGCATGACAGCAGCTGGATACCAGCTTCGTGTAAAATTGAACCTTTTTACACATGCTATTGGTAATTTCTGAAAGGGAAAGTACATGGCGAGTTACAAAAAACGAAACCCAAAAATGTCGGGACTATTGTTTTAGTGACTTTCTGCGTGTAGCATTTTCAAAATCTAGGATATGAAAGCCTAATTCATAAGCTTTCTTTTAGTACAACAATCATTCAAATCACTCATGTACTTTCCAAGTTACTGAATTTTAAACACAAGCACAGTTTTAAAGTTCTGACCACGGATCACAAAAAAGAGTGCGTTCTTTCAGCAAAACGAAAACAATTCACACACATTCCTATAAGATTTTTTCGTTATGCTGAAAGAACACTTACCTTTTTGGGATTCGTGGACAGAACTTTAAAGCAGTGGTTGTGTTTAAAATTCAGTAACTTGAAAAGTACATGAATGATTTGAATGATTCTTGTACTAAAAGAAAGCTTATACTAGATTTTGAAAGCACTACTTGCAGAACTTCACTAAAACAATAATCCCGACATTTGGGTTTCGTTTTTTTTACTCACCCTGTATATTGGCTCTGATGTGGTTTCCCTGTTGGCTTAATTACGTAAAATTTAACCTCTGTTTAACTACTCCACCAAAAGGGTATATATTTTGTTGTTAATAAGCTAAAATCAGAGAACGATTTGTGCAATGCATGCTGGGAAGATTACAAAAATCAGGGGTTGTGCACTGTCGCTGATTCATGGCGTTACTCTTGTGCGGCTGAAGTGGAGACTAGTTTGCTTGTTGATACACAATAATGTCACGCAGTGGTTGGTTATAGTCACACACATCACAACAGTCGTGCATTGTATAAAGATGCTACGGGTAACTCGCTAACTCAGGAGAAATCAGTTTTGTCATCAAATCGTGGTAACTACGCCCTCTGTTGCCTGATATTGTCCAGTCAGTAACACCTTGTATTGCTCGGTAACTAGCGCTACTATCATCACTTGTAATTCAGTATCTGGCGCCCTCTATCATCAAGTACTGCCAAGTGACTAGCGCTCTCTATCGTCTCACTCAGTTGGGTGTCTGGCGCCCTCTATCAGCCCATGTTGTCCAGCACGGTCTGTGCCAGTTGCTGTATCTGCAGCGGCATCGATGGTCTCTGCTGCATTCCCTCGAGTAATCGTGGGATCGCACTCTCCCCGAACGCGGTGCGGAATGTGGCATCTGTCGAGAGAAAAAGCACAAGCATGCATAAACAGCCCATAACAACAAGGATCCTCTGGATTTCTGAGGAAGACACGTTGATGCACAATTCCCATGGATGGCTGCATCAGAAGTACTCGTAGTAATGTTGGGGGCTAATCATTCTAACTCGCAGCTGAGAACCTGAATTGCGAAGGACACAGCTACAACATTAGTCTGAGTATCACCCGTTATCCACGGAGCAAGTCTCCTGTATCACGTCTGATATGTCTAGACATGCGGATATATGCAAGCCGCGCGCCATGATGCGCAACAGGTGAATGACCGAAGACCCGATGTAGAAAGTGCCCACTGATTGGTCAAAATCTAGAGGTCAAGAGGCGGTTGTCTTGCCTAATTTATCAGTGAATCTGCTCACATATCATAGACCACGGCGAATAGACTACTACAACGTGGTCGAGCCAAAGAAATGTAAAGGCGCCTTTGGCAGCCGCCATACGACCCAAGTCTGACCACGAAGCACAACCAGAGATCGAAAGTGTTTGATATTTGCAGAGGAAGGAAAACCGGAGGGCCCAGAGAAAAACCCCTGTGGCACAGGAGAGAACCAACACACAACTCTACTCACATATGGTCCTAGCCGGGAACGAACCAGGGCCACAGTGGTTAGAGGTGCTTTACGCACTAGCCACGCATGCCACAAGTTTGGTTATGGCTTGTAATTTCACACATGCGACTAAGGAAGCGGCTGGAGCCATTTCCCATAGAGACGTGCGTGACTGCTAGTCGTAGCCAAATAATTCGGATGCGGCCTATGACACAGGTGTCAAGCCACTTCCATAGGGGCATGTGTAATAGCAAGCAGTAGACTGTCATACGGACGCAGCCTTAGTATTGGGTTGATGTTTGATTGTTCATGGCCGTCTTTTATTGTTTTACCTTTCAGAAGTTGTAGACTGGTCCACAAGCCGATGTGTATGAAGCTAGGGTCTGGGTGTCTGGCGAAACGCTCGATGTATCGCAACAGACCCAGGATGTTAGCAGTGATCAGCTCTGGCTTCAGATCTGTTGATGAGGATCAGAGGTAAGGGTCTATGAATATTAGTCAAAAATTCTCTGTTACTGATTTCCTGGAATGGACCATTCAGGATTAGGCCATAAGCCCTTCCCACCTGTGGTTTCTGCATATTCATTATCTTAACAATCAAACCTCACAGGAAGATGTAACCAGTACATGTAGGTCACTGTAAAGAAGCAATGAAAGGTAAGGAATGAAGGTCAATATTCATTTGGAATTCTCTGTTATCTATTTCACGGAATTGGACCGTTCCGGATTAGGCCATGCGCCCCGCCCACCCTCTGGTCTGTGTACATATCTCAAAGTGTTTTGGATCGAGTTGGACTGAGCTGCATGTACATGTACCATGGACACTTGATCAAAAGTCGTGAACTAATTAATCAATGCAACTGTTTGAAGGAACACTGACAGGCAGAGAGGGTTCATTGTATGTATTTGCTGGAAAAAGTCACGCTTTGCAAAAACTGGTTACAAGCCAAAAATCATTATGTTAACATTCAATATCCACAACCTTACAGCATGATCTGACCAATAGTAAACTATATGTAGGATCTATCACTGCATATTCATTATGTTAACATTCAATATTCATAACCTCAAAGCATGATCTGACCAATAGCACCCTGTATGAGCAGCATATCTGAACCAATAGTAAACTGCATGTGAGCTCTATCACTGAATATTCATTACCTTGTAACACCAGTTGACCAATGGTACCAGCGCTGTTGTACTGCACATCTGAATGATGTGAGTTGGCAGCCAGACTGATCAGTTTGCTGAACACCTTCCCCTCTTGGGCGTTCACAAGGATAGCTTTGGCTTGTTCTGAAAATAAAAGACCACATAACGTTAAATAAGGAGCTATTTGGTTTGAACTAGAAAGATGGTTTGCACCGCCACAGGCAGTCAATTGCGCTTGTATGTTGACACGGAATTTAAAACAGTGACTTTATTACGGCTGCTGAGACGGCTTTGCTCAATTTCGCAGCTCGAGTAAAACTAAACAGTAAAGTCTGTCACGAGCTAATGTGGCCCATCAGGCCGGCGTTTATCTCCGATTTCAGTAGCATGAAACGACTGAGAATATTTCTACTCCCCCTGGATGGGATGCTAGTCCATCGCAGGTTACTCCCCAGCTAAAGCCGGTACCCATTTATACTCTTGGGCAGAGAGAGGCAAGTGGGGTGAATTGGCTTGCCCAAGGACACAGCATATGACCAGCAGCTGGAATCGAACCCCTGACCCTCTGATCACCAGTCACGAACCCTAACCGCTAGGCCACACTCCCCAGCTAGAGTAGGAAGGCAAAATGACACTCACCATCCGCAGACAGAACAGCCAGGGCAGCTGTCAGCTCAGACTGCACGGCTAACGGCGACGTTGACCGCATGAATGCGATGATCAGGCTGTCTAGTGTTCCCTTCTCAATGATTGTCTAAAAGGAACGAAACAGTGACGATTGTTGTTAGTGAGCAGTTAAGTGCCGAGGCCCAGTAAAACAAAAATTGAAATGTATCCGTCTGTGTCTTGTAGCTGGATTGACATGTTGATGGCCTTTGAGAGACGAGCTCTCCGGTACAAAGAACCCATCAAGTTTCAAACAGGCATGTCAGTTTAAAAGGAATCAACAAGTGTAGCTTGTTTTAATATCTTCTTGTCTTCTTATTGTAGCATTTCCTGGAACGCTGTTGTACATGTAACTGCTTCTGTACTGATATACTTTGGGGCATTAGGTCAAGTTGGCATCAAATGCAAGGTTTTGGTCTCCATGCAAAGATTGACGATTTGCGTCCTTTGTCTTAAAGCCACCTTTCTTAAACAAGGACTTACCCTCAACTGGTCCCCCGCAGCCAGGTTGCGTATTGTGCCTGCGGCATGGCAGTGAGCATCCCAAGACATGGGTTCCCTTAGCTGGTTCCCGAGCTCAACTAGGAAGCTTTCTTTGACAATTGGCATCTGAAAAAAAAAACCAGATTCCTAAATAAATTCAGGCATGAGATCTTTCGGAACTACAACAGTTCAGCATATACTCGAAAAAAAAAATCTATAGATGTCCAAAGGAAATACACCTATTATTCATTTTACTGCCTGAAACCATCCTGCCTACTACTCCCTGTACTGCCCCAAACCACCCTGCCTGTTACTCCCTGTACTGCTCCAAACCGCCCTGCCTGTTACTCCCTGTACTGCCCCAAACCACCCTGCCTGTTACTCCCTGTACTGCCCCAAACCGCCCTGCCTGTTACTCCCTGTACTGCCCCAAACCACCCTGCCTGTTACTCCCTGTACTGCTCCAAACCGCCCTGCCTGTTACTCCCTGTACTGCCCCAAACCACCCTGCCTGTTACTCCCTGTACTGCTCCAAACCGCCCTGCCTGTTACTCCCTGTACTGCCCCAAACCGCCCTGCCTGTTACTCCCTGTACTGCCTGAAACCACCCTGCCTGTTATTCCCTGAACTGCCCAAACCACTCTGCCTGTTACTCCCTGTACTGTCCCAAATCACCCTGCCTGTTACTCCCTGTACTGCCCAAACCACCCTGCCTGTTACTCCCTGTACTGTCCCAAATCACCCTGCCTGTTACTCCCTGTACTGCCCAAACCACCCTGCCTGTTACTCCCTGTACTGCCTGAAACCAACCTGCCTGTTACTCCCTGTACTGCCCCAAACCGCCCTGCCTGTTACTCCCTGTACTGCCTGAAACCACCCTGCCTGTTACTCCCTGTACTGCCCCAAACCACCCTGCCTGTTACTCCCTGTACTGCCCCAAACCACCCTGCCTGTTACTCCCTGTACTGCCCAAACCACCCTGCCTGTTACTCCCAGTACCACCCCAAACCACCCTGCCTGTTACTCCCTGTACTGCCCCAAACCGCCCTGCCTGTTACTCCCTGTACTGCCTGAAACCACCCTGCCTGTTACTCCCTGTACTGCCTGAAACCACCCTGCTTGTTACTCCCTGTACTGCCCCAAACCACCCTACCTGTTACTCCCTGTACTGCCTGAAACCAACCTGCCTGTTACTCCCTGTACTGCCCCAAACCACCCTACCTGTTACTCCCTGTACCACCTCAAACCACCCTGCCTGTTACTCCCTGAAACCAACCTGCCTGTTAGCCACCTGTACCACCTCAAACCGCTCGAGCACATGATTTTATGGATTCATCAGGCAATGTAATACAATGTAATACAATGTAATGCAATATAATGCAATATAATACAATGTAATACAATGTAATACAATATAATAAAATATAATACAATGTAGTACAATGTAATACAATATAATACAATGTAGTACAATGTAATACAATATAGTACAATGTAGTACAATGTAATACAATGTAATACTAATGGTTAAGATGTACTATATCTCACCTCGTTTCTTCTGTGTATGGAGAGGTTGCGTAGCGCCGCCACCGCTGCAGCGACCGTATCCTTAGTACACGTCTCCATGATGTGATGCAATGGAGGTAGGGCGCCCATCTCGACTATGTTCACTTGGTTGTCTTCTACAGAAAGAGCGATTTAACAAACTAGAAGGATTTATAAAAGAAACTTTGCGTCGAGGTGATGCACAGAAAATGTTTTTAAAAACGGGAAAAAAATCTCACCGTCCGAAGCCAGATTCCTCAGAGCGAAGCATGCTTGACATTTCACCTAGACAGACAGAAATATAACAGTTATAGACTCTTGAAAAGACAGTTAACACTGGGTCCAATTTCATGCAACTGTTAAGGCCAAAAAAATTTAGTTTCCGATTACATGCCTTTTGAAAATAGGGTCGGTAGGTCGGAATTCTTTTTGGGCCAATTTTATTATGCTGATTGAATGGAGTATTCAATTATATGCAAATTTCAGCCTGAACTGTTTCCATTGCACTACCAAAGCTATGCAAAAAAATTGACACAAAAAGGAATTTCCTTTATCATTGTAAATATATTTACGGTCAATAATTCTTAAAAATAATGGAAAATTCCGGTCGTGCACACCATATGTACAACGCTAGTCAAGGCAGTGGTCATCCCTCCATGGACCACACTCAACAATTACCTGAGGATTTTGCAGGATTGAGGCTGTATGCAATTTTCACAAGGAGGCAGTTGGAGGATTTTGCAGGATTGAGGTTGCAACCAGGCAAAAATGCCTAGGGAGTTAGGGTTAATGACAGAAATTGAGACTATGACATGCTTTCCCCCTTTACCTTTTCCGAAGGAGACTCCAGCAGCCTGATCAGCTGTCTCAGGACCTTGCTGTTGCCAGCTTGGACCACTGAGGCCCGATGGGTAGCATCCACGGCCAGATTACTGAGAGCGGCCGCGCAGTAATACTGGATCTCCGGGTCCTCCGAGTGCAGGGAATTGACGAACAGCGGCACCGCACCGTGGGAGACCAGCACGGTCCTCGTGGAATCTGTAAAGAGCAGATTGGATCGGAAAAAGGTAAGACCTTTTTTTCTGATTTCATTTTCTTGCAGCCTCTTTCAGTCTGGCCACAGAACCCCACATAATGGTAACTGGCGATTATTCTGAGCAATAGGTGCCGCCATGTTTCTGCCATCACTAGGGGCCGCCTTGCGTACGGGTGTAATACGCAGAGTCACATGAGCAAGTTCAAGCGTGGATTATAGTTAATGATACAGTAAACTCCGGCTAAACCGACATTGTACAACTTGTCAAATCGCTCAAGTCGGCCGTCTGACTAAAGTCCCGATTGTCCGTAATGCATTTCCATTGAATATTTTATTTCTAAGTCGGCTTTTATAAGTCGCCATTTCGCTCAAGTCGTCGTGTTACTCTTGGTCCGTTTCCATAAAAAGCATTACAAAATCCTTTGTGTAAGTCGGCATTCAACAAATCACGCATTGGCATCGACTTCCTGTACTGCGGTGTCGAATGGTTTCGCACGGCCCGTGATCGCTGCATGCATCGGTGTCGAAAAAGGGTGTCCTACTGCATACATTGCATATGCATCGTGAGCATATCAATACCAGTACCCCCTCTCGGCTGTACGCATGCGCTCTGTCCATTTTGGGGGTCATCTTATTGAACGACTACTGCTGCAGTCAATGCGTGCGTGCTATATACCGGACCATGCAAGCATTTAGTTCGTTACTGTACAGTACATGTATCGTGGTCTCCACTATCAATACCCCAAACGTGATGATACAACTCGAGGATTAATTTGCTGGATTCAACTCGAGTATTAAGGAGATAATCCAGGGTAAATCGAAGCCAATTAGTGCAATGAATCATGTGTGCAAAAGACCATTCATGTAAGTCGGCAAAATGACGACTTACAGCAGATGTCGGCATTGGCGTAAGCCGTCACAAATTCTTGGGCCCTGAGAGTGCCGACTTAGCCGGACTTAACTTCACTTGAACCCAGGACGGTTGGACTACTCTAGTTGACTATTTGGAACAGAGGCACTGTAGCATCGCTGGTTACCAATAGCCATGCGCATCATAAACCACAACAGGGAGCCTGGACTAAGGAGTTTCGTGATGACCTTTTGACCATCGTTTGACCAGAGGCGTTCGCACGTTGCTATTAGTGGACAATCGTAACTTACTTATCAACCATTAGTCAACTAATGGTCCTCGCCTGAACTTGCTCTTAGCTGTTAGTGGATGGCCTCGTAGCCACAACACCGCAAATTTAACATGCTACACATCAGCTACACCTGCAGCAACAATTAATTAATCAATTACACGGCTGACTTACCGATATGGGTGAGATTAAGTAGTGCACCTGTCGCGTTTCTCTTGACCCTAGTATCGGTGGATCTGGCCAGGCTGATCAGCGGCGGAACGCCTCCGCAGGACACAATCTCTTTCTTGTTTGCATCTGAAGAAAACAAGAGGTTAAGATAGTTTCTTAAACGTGGTCACAGAAATCACTTGGACGCAGGAAGAATTACTTTTCAGGAGTCATCCCTCCCTTGAACAAGTTTCACTTCCAAGATCACTAACCTGTGAATGGACTTGTGACCAAACTTGTAATGCACTTGCGATCCATCGCAAGCACCTGGACTGGATTTGGATTAAGAAAGTCTGTAAAACAAGTGTTGCATTCCCCGAGCATTCCCTAAATTGTGAATTGATATGTGATTTACTTGTGAATGCCATGGTCCAGTGGTTACAGTGTTTGACTCATGCACGATGGTGCGTTGGTTCGAGCCCTGCCAGGAACATGGTGTTTGTGCCCTTAACCCTGCGACGAGTGAGCTTGGCCCAGCGTGGGCCAGAAATCACGTGTATTGATCACCTGACTAGATGCCACGCACCACTTGACCCAGTCTCTAGGACATCTCCTAGCTTGCCTAGACACTACTTTTAGATAGGGTGTCAATCTTCGGGTCAACCTGGCAGTCACTGAAATGTGCGGGACTTATATCCCTTCCCATATGTTTGTGTACAAAACCCATGCTCCAATATGTTTGTGTAGCCAAAACCTCTACCCCCTTGACCAAGTGACTCGGTCCACTCAGTCACTGCCTTGGGTAATTGCCACTGTGTACACTGTATGTTTGTGTAGAAACAGCCTCGCCCTTGTCTTGAGAAACAAAGAACTAAATTTGGTCCAAGCCGGGACCAACCTCACGTGTTCGTGTGTATTTTGATAAACTCACTTGTCGCAGGGTTAAAACAAAGACCCTTAAGTACAATTGCATCTCTCCACCCAGGAGTATGAATGGGTGCCTGTGAGGGTAGAGGACCGAACGTGAGCTGATATCGGCTGCCGCGTAGTCTCGTGGCCTGATGAATGGGGGAATAATTGTAAAACGTTTTGAGATTGTTGATACAATGGAAAGCGCTGTATAAGCATTACAATTTATTTAGGTATTTTGTGACCACACTTGTGTTATATTGGAATTTACTTGCGACCGAACTTGTGATCCATCAAAAATACCACACCTACACCCCTGTATGTGGATAAGGAAAGTCTGCAAGGAACGTCTGCGACGCATTTGTACCTGTAGTAGCCAGGGTGGTGATGCAGCCACACACATTGCACTGGATCTCCTCGTTAGAGCACCGTAGCAGCTTGATCAACAGCTGAAGGGCGCCGCTTCTCATGATCACATCCTTGTTGGTATCTGTATTAGAACAAGATGGTATAGGGACAATCAGTCAATGGATACAAATGGCACATTAAATCATTTAGCCCCAACAGTCCTGAATCTTCCGATTTGAATACGATTTTTTTACACCCTTGGGATCGAGTTATGGCTAAGGCCAAAAAAAAAAAGTCTCCGGTTTCTGGTATGCCCGCACGTCGCCGTAGCCATGCGCGTCGGCAAAATGAAAAAGTTTTTTTTTCAATAAAAGATGATGTCTCAAAACTGCCAAACTCACTGGTTTGACTGGAATTCTGCTGCTGCACAATTTTAACGTGTTTTTAGATGGGGTTATGATCGAGAATAAGCTTTATGTGGCCTCTCTAGACTCCCATATATTTGCACTAAGTTTAGTCGGGCACCATTTGCAGTCATCAGCCGACATTTAAACCCCCCCCCCCAAAAAAAACAGGTAAAAAAAAAAAAAAGCCGCGTCACCGCACCACTTTTGGGGCAAGCTCCATACCAGAAACCGGAGACTTTTTTTTTGTTGGCCTATTGGCTTACAACCCATTATTTTTGGAGTCAGTTGGAGTCATTGTCGACAATCAGCTTTTGCACTATCCAGTTCGTCCCCATGTGGAGGGTACTACAAACATGTGCAATAAAGTGCAAGCTCAGGTGAGAACTATGGGCGCCGTGCACAAGTACTCCTTCAACGGCCAGAAACGGAGAGTTGGGGGAGACCTAGACTGGTTCCCGGTCCATCGACTGCGTATTTCAAATGATCCAAAGTTATTGGGGGCGGGGATTAATCTGGGAGACCATCACAAGTTAAATTCTGACGTATTCGCCCGCTGACGACACCTGGCGCTCACGCGAAGACGCTGTGGCTTATATTCTGGAAGTTGTGTGTACTTCACGCGCGAACCAGTACAGTACAGTACGCACAGGCTGTTGATGTCCATTCACGGTGCTCTAAAAAAGTGATAAAAATGCGTCCTTGTTTGTTGGACCATAGTTAACCATATGTCAACTATCTTTGCTCCTACTCCTATTGAACGACCCAAAGTTGGACAAATCTGGTCAACTATTTGGGACCAGTCTACCAGGGTTGGTCGCAATAACTGTGCACATCATAAATCACAGCAGGGAGAGGGAGTCAAGACCAAGAAGTTTCGCGATGACACTTCGACCATCCTTTGACTAGAGACGTTTGCACATAGCTATTAACTGCACAGGCCTACCATGAATCAACTACTAGTCGACCAGTGTTCCTCGATCAAACTTGCTCCAGCTATTTACAAAAACAATACTAGTACAAGACCTACAAGAATTGACATCAATCTTTGTACGTACCATGGCCATGCAGCGCCAGATTGCTGAGCGCCAGGGAAGCAGCTTTCTGCGTCTCGATGTCTCGAGATTCCATCAGCGCCAGAAGCGGCTCCAGCACCTTGCTGTTGATGGGCTGGATCACTGTGAGAGAAACACAGAGAAACTTAGAAAACCCTTAGGAGAGATTTTGCTCAGACGGAAACGTCTAGATCTGTAGCCTTCCAAGTCTTGACAATGGTATCAGCAACCTATGCTTGCTATTTGTATGACAGGGATGAGATTTGTCAGGATTTTTCCTGGTTTGCACCTTGTTGTTGATGGGCTGGGTCACTGTGACAGAAACACAGAGAAATCTTGAAACTTAGCAAACCTTTAGGAGAGATTCTGCTCAGATGAAACATCTAGATCTGTAGCCGTCCACGTCTTGACAATGGTGTCAGCAACTAACGCTTGCTATTTGTACGACATGGATGAGATTTGTCAGCATTTTTCCTGGTTTCAGAATTTTTGGTCAGGATATTTGCCTCCCTGATTTCAGAAACTTTTAAGAATCCCATATGAAATCTGGAATTCCTGAGGTTTTGCCATAAAGGTGCTCCTACATGTATCGATAGCGTAAAAGAAATGGGTATGTAAGAGGTGCCTTTCGGGCAAAATCTACAACCATACCATAGACCCTACGTTGCTCTGGGGCCCTTAGTGACTCTCGAACCCTCTGCAGATTTTTTTGTGGATTTTTCATTTCCCCCAAATCTCAGCCCTGAATTACGAGAATTTATCAATGTAACTATTTTACAATGTCCTAGGTACTGCTTTTGTCTCTATAAGAGGATCTGAAAAATATCCTCAGCTTGCCCAAACTAACCCCATTACTGATCATAAAGATCACTCAGGTACAATTTTTTTTGCCATTTCCCCATGGCACTCTGACAAAATGTTCAATATGACTGGCACTGAAAAAACCTTAGAATAGATACCACAATTACGTTCATTTCATGATCCACAAATCACCAGAATCCAAAATGTCACTGAAGAACAGGATGGCACCATCGTAATCTTTCTTTCTTCAAACCTTTCCCCCTCGTTTCAACATGCCATGACCTTTCTTCACTCATTAAATTCTCTTGTTTTCCCCCTGCTTCATAAAGCATCCCACACTGATTGACTTCTATTCTTGTCGGAGACGACCTTCGTTAAAATGCCGGTTACTTGCAGTTCCAGCATTCTCCAGAAATTACATTCTTCAATGAAATTACACAGGCCAGAAATAGACACCATTAACATTTCTCATTAACATTTCTAATTCCACCTCAAGTGAGGTGATATTTACCCCTCAGAGATACAAGTACGGCTATAATTAGGACACACATTCCAGACACACATACATACAAAGATACGTGTGTACATATAATCACTGCTGTTCAGCTTTTAGTTATGAAAGAATCTTATAACGTACATGTATTTATTTGTTTCTTACCTCTGCCTGTTTTTAGTGCTTAGACCCTTTAACCCTCCCGCTGTTTAAACAGTCACAGACAGTCAAAATTTACTTCCACTTTCCCGGCTGTACTTTTAACAAAGGCTAGTCACCAACAGTCAGATCATATGTCAAGCAAGCACTGTGACTAGTCAAGCTGGGACAAAGAAGGCAGGTTGAGTTTACCATTCAAATTGTGGACGTTGAACAATAGAGGACAACAGGGTCCATGTTTGACCGAAGGTCCACAATTGTGATTCGTGTACAAAACCAATGAAAACTGTTGCTAAAAAGTTAGTGTACAAACAAAAGCAGGACAATAGGGGGTCCACAATTGCAGGTGTATGCACACTTGTATGTGGTCACAGCTGTTTCATCACTCACCCGGAGTCAAAGCATAGCTGTAATCAAGTTACTTAAGCAGTCCCAGCCAGTCAATCCTGCTTTACAGGTATGTAGACTGGGGATTCTTAACTGTTGAAAACAGTCACTTGTTTGATTTTGACTGAATGGACTACTAGGCACAGAATGTATGTTTGCATAGGCAGGTTAATATCTGCTGCTGTAACAATAGAAATCCTCTGAAATACAAACGAGTATCTGTATTATCACCTGATATATCCTTCAATTTACTCTAATTGGAGTCTTTGCTCATCCACTTCTGCAACCACTGAGTAACTTAACGGAGCCTGGTACTTGCATTTCTGGCAGAATATTACCCGTGGAATACGATACAAATGGAAGAGTGTGGCACAGTGGTTAGGGTTTACGACTCACGATCAGAGGGTCAGGGATTCGAATCCACCTGCTGGCCACGTGTTGTGTCCTTGGGCAAGCCACTTCACCATAACTTGCCTCTCTCCACCCAGGATTATAAATCGGTACTGGCATTAGCTGGGGAGTAACCTACGAAGGACTGGCATCCCATCCAGGGGGAATAGAAATTTTCTCTGTCATTTTGTTTTGCAACGGACACTGAAAATACATGTAGGCCCCGGCCAAAATGGGCATATTAGCCGGAACTGACTTTACTCTTTTAACAACAATACAAAGATTCTTACGTCTCTCGCTGATCTCGGCCAGGCAGAGGGCGGCCGACCTCTGCAGGTCATCGTTGTGCGAGTAAGTCAGGATGTTAATGGCGCGCAGACGGTCTTCGGATAACGACGGCTTCTCCTCATACTCTGCAAGATGAAATCAATCAGATAAGAAAATACCGCTTAGCATATCAGCACGCTAAACCAAAACAAAAACAAAAAAAACAGACGAGTACCGGTCCAGGGCAATATACAACATATGACATTTTAATCGGTTACCTGATTTTACTAAGTAAAAGTAAAAGCTTCTAATTCTGGTCGCCGGATTCTACTAGCTAACTCGCCGAACAAAATTAGAAGCCATTTGAGGTGGCACCACGCCCACGCGAATGCCATACGCATTCTTAAAGATGAGGCGTGCGTGCATTTCCTTAACCCTGTCAAATTGGTCTAAGGAGCCCAGAGTGCGTGCGTACTACCCGAGTGCGAACCTGGTTCTACCTCTAACGGCTTCTGATTTTGTTCGCCGAATTTGTCTTTAGTTCTCACGTAAATGCACAACTGGAATGCTAAGCCTATCCATACGCAATGGATACTGAAATGAGTTGACACTGCATCAGAGGTCACTACGACAGTGATTTACTGGCCGTTTTCAGACTCTATATGAGCAAAGAGATATTACATGTATGATTGTGTTCAGACTAAGTATCTGCTCATAAAGTTTACCCACCTCTGTTTAAGTAGTTCAGCAGTTCGTTCACCGCGGCCCGCTCCTCGTCCAAGAGTAGGGGCTCGTAGAGGTCGTCGTCATGGGTACGCGGGGCGTAGCAACTGCAACACAGGCAACAGTAGGACAGGCAGTAGTCCAGCACTGTCTCCATGGTAACAGGTCAGAGGTCACGGGTCACAGTATCATGGCAGTTCACGCATTGATGGTACGACAACTCCTCAAAATGACAGCAGTCAATTCCAAGCCAATGAAAGATTTGTTTCTTTAGCGCACAGTGGATACTACCACGATACGCCGACTGCTTCACTTTTCAACAATCCTGATCTAAAATAACCTACAGATTAGAAAAACAAAACATTGCAAAATTAATTCAATGCATAACAGAAACAAAACTCTGGCATGCAAAGCATCCTGTTCACAGCTTACAACCATGATAACCCCAACTCCCTAGGCATTTTTGCTAGGATGTAACTTCAATCCTGCATCCAAACAGCATACAGCCTCAAACTTGCAGAATGCTCTGTTATTTCTTGAATGTGGTCCTTGGAGGGGTGACCAGGGCCTCAATCCTGCAAAATTCTCCAGCAATCACTGTCCAAACTGCAGACTGATTGCCCCATCTACCGGGTACCAATTTCCACATGAAGCAGACAGTCTAACTACTGTACATGTTTGTAATTTGGACCAGACTACTGTTAAACAAACTGCAAGTTGACATCTGAATTGTCTACCCGACAAACGAAAGAAGACCAAAAACCCCCAAAGATGTCTGCTGAATGGAGAGCATCCATACCATGCAGTATCCACAGTCGAAGAGACCAGTGTGGCGTTTCACGGCTCTTTGTCTGTACAGATTTTATTCTCAGGAAACAGCTAATAAATTATACGAGATACCAGAAGATCAAAACCTCCCAAAGATGTCTGCTGAATGGAGAGCATCTATACCATGCATTATCCTCAGTCGAAGAGACCAGTGTGGCATTTACGCTCTTTGTCTGTGAAGATTTTATCCAGAGGAAACAGCACTAATAAATTATAAGAGATACCAGCATTTTATTTTGCCTGGCAGGAAGGTCTTTGTGTTTTAGTACTGCTCAACACTTGTTACTACATGTACGTTGTATACACAAGAATCAAACAATAGTGCAACCAGCAGATTTTGTGTTTTGATTCAATGGTACAATGTATTTTTCTTAAAACCTCTAGACGTACATTGTGACCTTAACCACCCCCCTAAATTATGAAGAGCGGATCTGCATAAAACCTACCCAAGCATATCACCGCCTACACAATAGCCTGTAATTTTTTTCACTCGCATTACTTCCACTGTATACAGTGCATTTTAAAATATTTGATACTTTGCTTCTAGAATTGCATGGCCTCTAAATGCTGCATGAACATTTTAACTGAATTTTAGGGTCAGACGTCAACTTGTACATGAACACGGCGATTCTTGGTGTAAAAAGGAGCTTAACGGTTATGTAATTTTGCACAAATGTATACATGTACATGCACCTGGTAGAATTTTACTGTACAGACGTAAATATACCTAGATGTGGTCCACTTAGATTGTAAATGTCATGTATTTGTTTATCCTTCCACAGCCCAAAAATTACAAACCAAATTGAACAATTTTTTTCTTTCTTTGGTTTAAAGGGAGTATACAACATTTGCAAACATCGAAAATAAAACTACCAAGTTTTTACAAAACCTTTCTAGGATGTTGGTAAATGACAGTCTTAAGCATCCTGTAAAATTATGGCACCTGGTGTAAAGTCATTTTCAAGAAAGTGGTATTTTTGTATACATTTCCAACGGTGGTCTGAAATTCTCTTTTGTCCAAAAATGCGATTTTAATAATCGTTGTCAGCATTCTGAAATTCCTCTGGAAAAGACGACCTCACTGAATATTCATTCAAAACAACATTGAAGCTTGCAAGTAAATGGACAAATTTAATTGACTATGCCAAGCATACAAAAAAAATGTATGCATAAAACATGGTGAACAATTCCAGAATATTGATACCTGCCAACCAGCACTATATACGCTGAATGCAATGCCCTTTAGAACTTATTTGCATAATCACAAATTCGTACTACTCACTATAAACACAGGAAGCCCCCCCCCCATTTTTTTTGGTACCTACCGGTACCTACCCTATTTTCTATGGCCATGTAATCGGAAGCAGAAGTATTTATTTTTTTGGCCTAATAAGTCATGCATACCCTCATTGAACATGTACTTTGTATACAGCTCCACAAAGGCAACATGTTTAGCCCCATAAATGTGGCCAATTTACTGGACTACCTCCGTAAATAAAGGCCACACTTCCACCTTGTACAAAAACATGTCGAACTTTGTCAAATTTTGATGTTCACATTTAGGCTTAGTTTGTAGTTTATTTTTGCTTTAGAAGCATACTCACCCTCTTAGTCTTTATAGGCTAATCAGAAAGAGCTGCCTTTTTTCAGATGCCTATTTTTCGTGAAATTTCCAGATTCGTTTGCACACGTTTGCGTATCAAAATTTCAACATGAAATTTCACGAAAATTAGACATCTGAAAAAGGCAGCACTTTCTGATTAGCATATGGGTGAGTGTGCTTCTAAAGCACAAATAAACTGCAAAAAAATAGTAAGTGGCCTGACGTTTCGACCCTAGCAGAGTCTTTCTCGAAGGCTAAATGACAATGTGTTGTCTACAGATGATGCATTTGGAGGTGTTGGGACACCTGAAAGTTCCCTGTGGCAAAGGGGGGTTAACATTATCATTAAAGGGGGGGACATCTGCCCGGACAATGAGATTCCTGAGACTGGGTGGCCGTCTGTAGGCAACTATGGGTTCTTCTTGTACAGCACGTTGAAGTCGACCTGATGTGTGACGAATATGATGGTTAGAACTGGTTATTGTACGAATGGGGGGAAGTGAGGGGTGGAAAGTGACAACAAAGGGAACTTTCTCCTTGGAACTCTGTTGTTGTACAGGTCTTTTTGAAAGTACTGACTCCCTGGAGCGAGCCTTGACTTTCTGGATTGCTCGATGGACTGCAAAAATAAACTAGTACAAACTAAGCCTAAATGTGAAAATCAAAATTTGACAAAGTTCTACATGTTTTGGTACATGGTGGAAGTGTGGCCTTTATTTACGGAGGTAGTCCAGAAAATTGGCCACATTTATGGGGCTAGGTCAGGGTTTTAAACAGAGCTCTGGTAAGGCTTGTACATGGTATAAAAAACATGCAGCATGAATATCTTCATCTGTTCAGCATTATACAAATGAAAATGTATGTGTGCCATTGTGCTGTATACAGAGCCTCACAATAACAAATGTCATAATCACATAGAACATGATTGTGTACGTTGACGTGCTTAGAATTCATAACGGGAAACACAATATAATGAACGAGGGGTCGATGCATTAAGTAAATTGAATTTTTTTTCTTCATTGTGAATATTTTAAGGGAAAGTTAAAAACCAAACCATGTATTTCTCCACCCACAATATCGTGTTACATGGATGGTGAGCATTGAAGAACTAATCAATTTTCTGTCTGTGCAAAAAGAAAATTGAAATGGGTCACAATTTGTATTAAAACAACTCAGACTTTGTTCTATGGTTGTACTGACCACTCCAAATACGCTATCACCGAGGCCCCCTTTAATGGTGGAAGCACTGTGCTTACTAATACTATTGTACAAAGCAACTGCACCATGGCAGATTCTGAACAATAGCTAGCACAATGCTTTTGCCATTGAAGCGGGCCTTCATTAACATACTTTTTTTCAATATGGTCTATGGGAGTCAGGTTGGCGTTGGCGTAGCGGTACTTTCCTCGCCTTCCGTACCGCGGTGACCCGGGTTCGAATCCCACCTGGGCCAACACGTGGATTAGGTTTTCAGTCCCTACCTGATTCCGTGGGTTTCCCCCACAATATTCGTAACTGGGGTTTTCCTCCCACCTCTAAAACTGTAAATTTCTTCTCACTGTCTCCTCTCTACAGGTTTCTTCAGGCTTGCAAGCTACAGTGCCTAGGGCACTTTTGAGGAATAAAATCCTTGGTGTCATTACCAGAAATACACAGTAATTTGTTTTAAATCTGCATTGTACAAAAGACAGGCAAGCTAAAAATACAGGAAAAATGCAAGCACGTACCGGTACATAGGTTTACTGTAAAACATCACAGTAAAGCAAATTAGGTTTTGCCCTTCACCGGCGTAAACACTGCAAAGCATTACAACAAATGTCTATTTGTACATGTTTATCCATCATATAATTATAGGCCTACCTTACCATTGATACGTACGTACATATCGTACATGTAGGCTACGGTACATCAGTTGGCTGCGCTACATATAAAATCTCGTCAAATCCCACTGAAGTTTTATGTTCCTAGAGCTCTCTTCAAAAATGCGGGCTCATCTCTGGCTCAAAAACTACAAACTGAAGAAACAAATTCTGCATCCTTACTCAGCGAACAACAAAGGAGCAATGTGGGTACAGCCCGTTTGTGCTGGGTATCAGTGTATATATGTGTGTATACAGGCCCTGGGTTGCAGCTGCAGTTATTGTTTTGCTGGGATGGTCTATTGTTTGCATAGCAAGTCTCTGTATTGTGGTACAGCATACAGTCTGGCGAATGTACACAAAGGAATAAACATACATGTACAGAGCTTGGCTCCATATATATCTCCAATAAGGACATACATGTACAATGTATGTAAACTGCAGGCTTGGTAGTGGATTGATAAACAAACACTTTAGAACACACATGTGCATAGTACACACATACTAAAATTTGTATCCTCGTGGAGTCATTTCTTTGTTCTCGCGTACTAAAGTTTTCGAGTTTGAAAGCCTACGGGGTTTTCAAAATGCTCATATTTTAACCAAAATTAATTTCTGTGGCTGAAATTTGGATTGTAATTTCCTGTTTGCAACAGATCAACACACCTTGGAAATTGCTACTTTTTGAGTAAAAATGTGTCTACATTTATTTCGTGATTTATAACCTTGTTGTGGAGACGTATTCATCTAGAAATTGCCCCGTGGTGACGTATACAGTCTTTTGTTCCCTATTATGCACATGTCTCCACAGGGTACCGTGTACCAGATCTGCAGGCTTGGTCTACAGTGGATTGAACCCTAACACACATGTTCATACATGTGTACATATGTAGTAGGCCTATAAGTATAAATTATCATATGAATGCATATTAAAGGTAGAGTACATCATTTGCAGCTATCCAAAAAAGTAAGTAAAAAGTGAAAAGTTTGCAGCTATCCAAAATTATTGTTGAATAAGCATTTGGTTTAAAAACAGTAATGGCACCAAACACCCTGTGAAATTATTCTGTCTGGCACGCTGTCATTTTGAAGAAAACAATAAAAGAAGGTCATTTCCAAGGATGCGTCTAAAGATGCATTTTTGGAAATTTCCGTGAGCAGTTCGTTTTTAATTCGAGGCAAAGCCGTGAATGGGCGGAGATGTTTTCATCAATGACCTAATCCCTCCTATGCCTATAAGTATAAGCATGTTTTTTAGGATCATTAGGAAAATGGTTTCATAAGACCACATAAACATCTTCAGTGTGACTTTATTGGCTGCTGATCTGTAAACAAAAACAATGTCTTCAATAATACAAATTTCTTAAATAAACAACCTGCTTTTGTAAAACAAGCTATAAACATTCACTATCAAACCAAGGCAGGCATGCCAACAGTTAGTAATACTGCATGATACATTAAACATGTACATACTCCGTAGCCCATTTTAGGGCGACCCTGAAAACTTGGCATAACCATGGAGCTATTTTTTTTTATTTGTTTAATTTAGACTTACATGCAGCAGCAAAACTTGTATGAAATCTGAAAATTCCTAAAATAGCCCTGCGCCCATACACTGACAAAGCCCATTCAAACAGTTCAGCGGACTCCAGAAATAGTTCCGTTTTGCCCAATTCAAAGTGGCTCAAAGCATCCTCAAAGCCAATTAAAAGTTAAGCCAGGCAAAAAAACCCAGAGGGATGGACCAGTGCGTTCATGCATGGCCGCACAGACCCAGTGGGCGTGCACTCAGTCCAGCACTAATAATACAGCAACCTTGGGCACTGCTACATGGACAGGTCTCCATTAAAGCTACAGTCCATCATTTGTCTAAATCCTTATCCAAAAAGTAACTGACATAATTATTGTTGAAAAACAAACTTGGTTGAAATATAATAAGGGGACTCAACTCCCTGTGAAATCATTATTTCTGGCAAGCTGTCATTTTGAAGAAATACACAAAAGAAGGCCCTTCCAACGATGTGTCTAAAGATGCATTGGAAATTTCCGATAGTAGTTCATTTTTTTTCATTCGGCGAAGCGCTCCCAAGCGTTGGCACGATGCACACGCGTGCACGGTTGCTATTATTTGTCGGTTCAGTGCGCGACATCGTGTAGCTGCAATCGGCTCGCTGACAACGTGTCTCGGACGCTGAATTGAGGCCCAATTCAAAACATGATTCAGCAACTTTTGAATTGATTTGAAATCGAGATCCTAGAATGTTGTTTTTCGCAGAATATACAGCTGAAGCTGAGCTGAACCTTCATCAGGTTAGTTGTTCAGCATCCTTCTTTAGAGTTTGAGCATGTTTGTTGCTTCAAACGAACAAAACGCACAAATTACGGGACTGTACCGGTACCTTAATATAGCATGTGTAATAATTGTCAGATAATTTGCTCGGCACCAGACTGTGAAAGATCTGTTTGCCGAGTTGCCAGTGAAGCGGGAATGAAATAATTAAAAAACCTGGCTTCAAACACAAACCAGATGCTACTGATTAAAATTTTTCTGCGGTGTCTGTTCAGTTTGCTTTAAAGGGAAAATACAACATTTGCAAACATCGAAAAATAAAACGACCAAGTTTTTACGAAATACCTTACAGGATGTTGGTAAATGACAGTCTAAAAGCATCCTGTAAAATTATGGCACCTGGTGTGAAGTCATTTTCAAGAAAATTGCATTTTTGTATACATTTCCAACGGTGGTCGGCCGACCACCGTAGGAAAAAATCTAACTATTTTTCACTACTGCTCCAAATTTACCATATTCTTCAGTCCAAGTTTTGTTTGCTATTGATTTCATGTTCATGAACGGGTGCAGGCCAGCTAGACTGGTTCCCTAATACCGTACTCTTTTCCGGCATCTGTAAATTGATCCAATTCATCTTCACTGGAGTCAGGGAACCAGACAACTTGAACATTTTTGTTTTTCTTGGTTTTTCCAGCGAAAACAAAACTTCCAACATGTGAGTGTAACAATAATTTGAGTATTATACTAACCTCTCAAATAGTTCAATTCTGAAAATTAAAGCAAAAGCCAATGATGTACATGTACACGTATGTACATTCCCTTTAACTTTGCAGACATTGCAATTTAGTTAAAAAAAAAAAAAAAAAACCAACTTCATGCCCTTGGCATTCTATGCGTGGATACTTTTATCACAATTCACACAAAGTCAGGGACAATTTTCAGTTGTGTTCTTGACTGTTTGTTTGCTTGTCTGCTGAATGATTATTATAATTGGTGGAGCTGCAAGGCCTTCTGGTACTGAATGATAAAAGATCAGCACACAATTGCGATATTTTCCAAAACAGCAAGTCAAGCATTCATAGTATTTCCAATTTGGAAAATACAAAAAAAAAAAATCATCTAGCATGCATGAAAGACTGCAACCGGCTGAAGTCAATTTAATATCCAATCATATGTAATAAAATACTGTTAAACTTTACCGAGTTTTATCATGATATGGATATTAGAAACCCGTAACAAAAATAATATTATTCCGTGTTGGCTTTCAATAAGGGAATAAATGTGTGCTTGGTCGGTATTAATCACTCTGTTTAAGACCGCGTGGAGTCTGGGTGCTGATAATTACCCGAGCCGAAGGCGAGGGTAATTATCAGCATCCAGACTCTTACATTTATTCCCATTTATAAATACCTTTTCGGTCAAAACAATCAATCATTTTGGTCAAAAAAACCTGATTTTGTTCAACAAGTTCACTTCATGTTTTTTTAAACACCCCTCTAGCTAAATGAGGGAGCATCCAGCTCGCGAATAAGATGTAAACACTCCATTTATGGAGATTGGCGCGCACGTCGCGCGTACTGCACGATGTCGCGCAGAATGCACCTGGGGCGTTGCGTTGTGAATTTAGGACTTATACAATTCTGACTCACTGGTAGTGTTGCGCATGCCTACCGGTACGTGAGGATTGTGAACGTTCAACCAATAAAACAGTAAGAGGCACTGGATTTTTAGGAGTCCAAATTTCATGTGACACTGGAAAAGTGTTGAAGACCAGCCAGCCATGTCTTTTCATCCGTTTAAGACACAGGCTTTCGACCAATAGGAATGGGTAAAAAGTTCTAAGGATTTATGAATAAAATTTTAGGCATGCATGCTTTTTAGTGTGTTTTGTAGAGCACTTTGGTTTTTGTTGTTTTTTGGAGGGGGTTGGGTTCTCACATATTTTGATCCAATCAAGAAACTAAGAAAAAATGTTGGTTGAGAAATTCGCTTAGAATAAGTCTTACAATGTACTTTTTGCATCTAATTTAAGTTTGATTTTTATGAAAGAAAAAAACAATTATGTTAAATTGGACTAACTTACCAGCACCAAATATTTGTGTTAAATTACTACCGGTATCTGTTGTCCGCAACCAAATACAATGCAACGGTCAACCTAAAGTGACCTTTATAAATTTATCTGTCAGTGGTCAATATTTGTCCCCAAAATCTGTGACCCATACAAGTCAAGGTTATTGGGAGTACAGGCTAATAAGCTTGTCCGAAACAAAATTGGGACTCGCATTAGGCCCCCCAAAAATTTTCTGCTTCTGATTACATGGCATTTGAAAATAGGGTACCTACTGGTACCGGTAGGTAGGGAATTTTTTTGTTTTTGGCAACTTTTTTGAGTACGATCATATGGAGGGTGTCTGCATGTACAGGTAGACAAGGGTAGTATTGGTCACAGACTTGCGATTAAATTTAGACCACTGAGCGATAAATTTATAAAGGTCACTTTAGATTGACCTTTGCATTGTATTTTGGTTGCAAATACATGTAATACAATTTAGGCACAAATCTTTAGCTTAGGCCAAAAAAAAAAAGTCTCGGTTTCTGGTATGCGCGTGCGTCGCCTTAGCCATGCGTGTCGGCAAAATGAAAAAGTTTTTTTTTCAATGCAAGATGATGTCTAAAAACTGCCAAACTCACTGGTTTGACTGGAATCCTGCTGCTGCACAATTTTAACATGCTTTTAGATGGGGTTACGATCGAGTATTTTTTTTATGTGCCCTCTCTGGACTCCCATATATTTTGCACTAAATTTAGTCGGGCACCATTTGCAGTCATCAGCCGACATTTGAAGAAAAAAAAAGTAAAAAAAAACCAAAACAAAAAAAACACACACTTCGCCGCATCACTTTTCGGGCAAGCTCCATACCAGAAACCAGAGACTCTTTTTTTGGGCATTAGTCCAATTTAACAATTTGTTTTAAGGTAGTAATTGATGGTTTGGGGGTGTTTTTTCTCATTTTTCCCTTAGAAAATTTAGGGAAGGGGCTGTCAGAATAGGGAAGGTAGAGAAACCGGAAGCACAACTATTTTTGTTACATGTATTCACCTTACTGCGTACTATAAGAGTCCAAAAACGTAGCATACATGTAGTAAAAACATGCAA